GAACTTGGTAATTCAATGTCTGAATCAGGTGTGTTGGAGCAGGGAAATATGTAAAACATGCAGGACTGCGGCCCTCCAGGACCAGGATTGCCCACCCCTGCTTTAAGACTTTTACTCAAGTAATATTTTTAGAGAAGAGTTTAACTTTTACCAAATTATTTTTATGATAAGATACTTGTACTTTTACTCAAGTAACTCTTTGAGGTACTTTATACAACACTGTCTTCTTGCTCTTCGTCCACTGACGCAGATACTCGGTGCATGCTCTGCAGACCAGCTTTGTCCTGATCTCCAAGCTTCAATAAGCACGGTAAGCACACTTTATGAAACTTATGACTGGATTCCTGTTAGACACAAGGGTCTGTTCACCACAGATGTAACAGAATACGTCAGGTTTATCTTTGCAAGACCTTCTGGTTGAAGCCATTTTGTTTTTATCCAATATAGAGGCTTCACTTTACTCTTACTAAAATGCTATGAGCGGAAGCGAATGCAGTAAATGACGTTTCACAATTGATGACATCACTCATTAACTTGCAGTCTTAGTAAGTAATTTCATTTCTAGAACGTGAAATAAATAAAATTGAAATGAAATAAAATAAAAAATGCATGTAAACAGAGTAGTAAAAAAATCAAGATGGCTATAGCTCAAAAAGTTGACCTGATGGAGCAAAAAGAATGTGATTTTTGGATTCAGCTCATTGAAATTTTACCAAGTCAGCTGAAAAAACGTAGACAATTTTTTTTTGTGTTGACCAGTGTTATTTGTCCAGATTAAAATCATGGCACACAGAACATCTGCTGAGTTAAGACGTTACAGAAAATGTTTGAATTTACCTTCTCATTCTCAATGTCCAGCATCTTTTGCTTCAAAGCTGATTTTGTCACCTCGATGGACTCCAGCCACTAAGAGAGAAAACACAGAGAACAGAACCGACAGCTCGTTCCTCATATGATGTCATCCAACACAGATGAAACTGTGATTCTAACGCAAAGAAAACAATAAACACACTGACAAAAGAAGATGGAGTTCTTGTTAAGGATGGAGGGTTTGAGTTCAGTTGTTCCTCACCTTTTCTGTCAGAGTCAGCACCGTCCTGGCGTGGATCACCACCACCTGCTCCTCATTGGACAGATTCTACAGAAAGACAAGTCAACACCAGGATAACATCTCAAAAACAAGACGTCACCTGATACTTGCTGCTAAATCTAACCGTTTTTAAAGAGTAACTTACCCCAAAATTAAATTTTTTTAGCTGATAAACTGTCTAGAACGTGTCTAAAATGTTATATAGTACTGTTTCTGTGCTARTTTTGATGTTTCTGTGCGTATTTGTTCAAATCTGTAACATTTGGTCTAAAAA